GATGTTGAAAAGGATAGTTCACTCAAAAAAATTATGTATTGTAAATATTATATTTTATATTTTGTTTATAGAATATTTTATTATTTCATATATTTATTACTATTTTAATATATATTTATACTATAATTTGAATAATATTTCAACTGCTTTTGTCCATGAAAGTCAGTGGGGTCCAAAAACACAAACTGTTTCAACATTTCTTCTTTTGTGTTACGCAGAAAGAAAGTCATACAGGTTTGGAGATACCAGTGTTATTTTAGTTACTATTATGATATTTATTAATATTTTGAATTAGCTTTCATTTTTACAGTTTCATTTTTCATTATAATTTCAGTTAATTTTTTTTAGTAGGCTAGTTTAATTATGTCCTTTTGTGATTTTTATTAGTTTTGGGGTTTTTTATATTTCTATTTAGCTTTATTTTTATTTTTAGTACTTTTACTACAACAACTTGAACTTATTTTATTTCAGCTTCTCATTTCTCATTTTCATTTTTTTTTTTTTTAGGTTTTCCATCTAATACTTAGTGTTATACTTTATTTTATTTCAGCTTCATTTAAATGATCAAAAATGATTTTTAATAGTTTTAGTTTTAGTTTACAATAACTCTGGGAAAGACATGAGGGTGCGTAAATGCAGAATTCTTTATTTGAGTGAACTATCCCTTTAAAAGGAGAATACTGACGCACTAGGTGTTATACTTCCTACGATTTTCGCACAGTATGGCTTGAGGTTATCCAAATTAGAATAGGGGAATGTTTACTGGAAAAACAAACATCTATGTAAATCATAGAGATGAGTAGTGCTTATGAAATAGAGCTTTGTAGTATTCTCTAGTAGGCAAATGCAGCACAGCTCGCCTATTTGGGTCATGTACAATTGATAGATTTGTATGTGTGTGCAACATGTTTGATTGTGTTGCTACTTATCATTGTATTGGGAATTGAGATAATTAACTTTCTCAATCTCAATTTCTTAATCAAATTAGATGCAATTGCACCTTTCATTTCCATATTTTCAATTCAACAACCCAATTCGCTGGCCTTGTACGAGCTCTGTCTGTCATTGTCCTTGTCAGTCTGTTAAAAGCTTCCCATAAGTTAACAAAATCTCATCAGCCTCCTCCCAGCCGCCCAATGCTTGTCCCCTGTGACAACGCTCTGTCGCAATTAGTGTTGGGTTACGGGTGGAGAGCAGGAGGGCCGAGTGTTGAAGAAGAAAAGCAGTATATCAAACAGGAAAACTAAACAGATGTGTGGACAACAGCAAATGTGCTGATGGAGGGCTGCGGGAAAAGAAATTGCCGCCGTGTTGTTGTGTATTTGCTGAGGCACTGCTGACTTAACTAAAAAAAAAACACAAATCTACATGCTGCTCGACATTTTGTCTTATTTTTGGACTTGGTTCTGTAGATGCATCAGCTGGCAATGGCTCTTCTCTCTGGTTTTCTCCATTCAATCACCCACTCTATCCATTCTCTTCTCAATTTCCTGCTGCTCTCCTCCAAGCTGTCCTCTGTCCAATTCCTCGCCTGTGACTGTTTTATGGCACTGTCAAGGCAAACTGCAAATTGAGCTTCTTTTCCCTTCAGTAACTTCTTTACCCCTCCTCTTCCTCCTCCTCCACCACCACCCGATCTATTTGCTATTCATGTCCCTCGCTCTCCTCTGTCCTAATAGCTTAAGTTTCCCCCCTCTGTTCTTTCACTGACACCTAACATCTATCCCATAATCCTGTGTGCTGGTGCAGCAACTTTTCCCCTTGTCAGGGTGGCTACGTGCCTCATTCACTGGAGAGGAACGATCGAGACAGCATTGACCTCCCTTCGCGCCTCATGCCGTCCCCGGAGGGACCCGGTTGGACTCATCGAGCGACACCCTACCGTGCCAAACGTGGCTATATTATGCTGTCAGCAGCCTTTAAATCAACTGAACTGGAAGTGCTTTATATCGCAGTGATTATCAAGAGGGTTGGGGGCTGAATTATTACCATCAACCTGAGCCATAAAAACCGGCACAGGACCAAGATGGCTGGTATTGGAATGAGTTGCAGTTTGTTTGGGGTTTGGAAAGATGGAATCATGAATGGTTGCTGTGACTGAGATGGAAGACTTCACTCAAATGAGTTAAAATTATTTACTCATAAAGCAGAGAGTTAAATCAGAATAGTGAAAGTAGAGCATACAGGTCTTGATGTTTCCTGAAGTGGACGTTTGATTCAGCTCTACGATCTCAATTAGTCTTCTTACACACACTTCTGCTTGTTACAAAAAAATGCATTCTGGTTTTCATGTTGGGCTCTTCCACTACTGTTGCAACTCTTTAACTTTATAATAGGAGTAACCTGATTTATGTCAATGACAAATTATGTATTATTTATTGAAGCTATTGTATAATATTAAAGTGCCCCTATTATGCCATTTTTAAGGATCCTAATATTGTTTTGGGAGTCTCCTACAATAGGATTACATGCATGCAAGGTCAAATAAAGCTTTAGTTTTCTCAAAATATGCATTTAATATCACCTCATTTTCCAGCGATTCTCAAACGATTCATTCAAAGCAGTTCTAAGATTCAGTCTCTCTAAAACCCTCCTTTCCGTGAGCCTACTCTGCTCTGATTGGTCAGATGGCCCATTCTCTTGTGATTGGTCTATGGATTATACAGCGCATGTCGGAAACGATACGCCCATTGCCATAGTTCCGTATTTTGAATGCTCGATAGAAACTATAAACATCTATTATTTATCATACTTGTGTTGTGATTCAGTGGAGCCAGCTGGTCCAAATAAACAGGAGCCATCTTTCAAGAGCAAGCGTTTAGTGAATCCCGCCTTGAACTCTCCGAGATTTTTTTTAACTTCCCGAGATTAGAGAAGCAGTCGTCAGTAAAATGCCGTGTATGTGGGCGGGGTCAAGTTGTTCGCTGCCGGCCAACGTAGAACATAGGCGGGAATTATGCAAATGTGTTACCCCATGACGTGTAGCCGTCACGGAAGTGGGATTTTAATTACTAACGACTCGTTTAGGCTGTAGAGAGTCGATTCTTTATTTTGGGAGACAATAACTTTATTTATCATGCACTTTTGGCTTTACAACTTTGCTGATCGTTTACATTCACATACAGCTACATTACACACTGCATGAAAGGCACTGCATAATAGGGGCACTTTAAATATTTTAAATTAAACTGGAATAGAATTAAAGAGCAATGTTTTAATGAGTTAATTTTTCTAATGAGTCTGTTTTTCCACCTTTAATGCTATTTTACCATTATGTGTCTACTGGTTTGTCTATTTGTAGTTTTTGAAAGAATAGACTGATGTCACACAAATTTTGACAATTTCTACAAATCTGTAAATTAATGTTGCATTAAAGTTGTGCTGTAACGGAAGTAGCGACAGATCTTTTTCTTCCGTGTGATGTACATTCGAGTTAAATGGATTATCGAAAAAAGAAATTATGAAGAACAGGACTTGGTTCTATCCATCGTTTGTTGATAAATAGAGGCAGATCTGAATGCAAGCTTGTAAGAAAGGGTGGTTTTAGGCTGACTTAACGATTGGTGAAGTTTGGGAAAACATCATCGGGAAAAAGTCTGTTGTTTCACCAGGATGACTGAGTGAGATCTTGATTAAAAAGTACTTTCACAAAAAAGTAATACAAAGTAATTTATCGAAAAAAATAAAAAAAATTCAACACACGCATGGATGAATCATTCACAATAAGATCAATAACATGCATTTAGAAAATAGATTGAATTTCCATTGCGTGCCAGCCTTTAATAATACTTTCAAAGATGGTTGATCATAAAGAACCAGCCTTCTTCCCTGACAAAATCAACCTGTGTGAGCTATTGAACTTCAGTATGTAATCAGTGATTCTATAACACAGTACATGCTTATGCTGCTCACTGTGCCATGGGAGAGAGAGAGCATCTCATGCTGCCATCTGTGTCTTAATATTTCTTGATAAATCTCTCACAGATGCAATCAAATCAAATGGAGTTGTATTCATCTGATAGTGTTTGTACTTCTCCCATAGAATATAATAAAATAGGATGTTGAAACTGGTTTATTAACAGAATATAAATTCTAGAATAGAATTCTATTCTATTAAAAAACAGAACAGGTTCTTTCATTTATAGGCTGTACAACATGTTCCTTTTAAATCAGTTGAACTTCTGCTTTGTGAAACTCAATAAACATAACTAAACCAGTCATGTTGTAATCTGTCTGTTTGCTTAGTGTGCCTATTTGCAATTTATTTATTGATTTTTTCATTTCCTTCCCACACATTCAAATCTACCATTCACTATCTTTGGCCTATTTATAGTTCTGCACAGTAATCTCAAATTCGAATTAATTACAGACTAATTCCACACTGATTCGTGGAATAATGTACTACATTAATAATTCTTTTGAAGAAGGCTGATCAGAAAGACAAACACACCCTCTCCTGACACACCATCTATCCTCAGGAACTGTGAGTGGTGAACGTAGGCTGATCTGTAAGCATCATTCACCCACAGCCTTTGTAGGCAATGCCACTTTATTCTGCAGCCTCTCAGTGTTTTACACGATCTCAGATCGAAATAAAACTGCATTTGAGATCAAATGACAGACGTGTAACATGAGCAGGTTTGGAGAACAAGAGACTGTGTGTCGAAACCTAGTGAGCTACCTACCAAGACGCGTTCGAACGTTATACGCCCAAAAATGCGGACTAGGTAGGCAACTCACTAGGTTTGAAGACACAGCCAGGGTGTGAGGGTTTTTTGACACGCATTTCTGTTTGCAGTAAACATATTAGCAAGTAAATAAGCACTTAACTGAATAGACGTGTTATTAATGAACCAGCAAACGATGAAGAATCACTTTTCGCCCTTTCATCGCAGATTACAAGCCGAAATGAAGTATCAGTTTTCTCAATCAAACGCACGGCCCGCTCCTCACAGCATCATCCGCCGCGAGACTGTCACGCGGAAACGAAAGCATCTTACCTGCTCGCGCGCTGAGAGCTCTTTCTCCAGCTGCCGGTGTTTGTTATGCCACACCAGATAATGCAGGTGGTAGCGACTCTTCTCCGGAGTTTTTCTGGCAGAAATCATCCTCAGTGCATAGTTCGCCGCTGCTCTCTCCCCCGTTCCGTTTCCCTGTTTTTATGCGATATCAGTTACTTTTATAAAGGGCGCGTGCTATATTATTATTGCTGAAACGACAGGTAAGGGCATTTCTCTCCATTTTCGTATCCAGCATCGCCTTTTGCATAGAAGCTTGGCGTTCCGCGTGTCTGTGTTGAAAGGCAATTTAAGGCTCTCCGTTCTGTACTCCACTCCTCCTGGTCTCTTCTCCTCTCTCCTCACACACTCAGACGCGCGCACGCTCGCTCGCTCGCGGAGGCTGAGGCAGGGCTCTCGTTTCTCTGATGAAAGCGACTCACATCTATGAGCCATTGAACTTCAGTGTGTGATTCTGTCATGCTGATGCGGCTCACTGCGCCATGAAAGAGGACATAGAGGGAGCATCTCATGCTGCCATGTCTTAATATTTCTTAATAAATATCTAATGGATTCAATATAATTTTTTAACAGAGCATATTCATAATTCTATTCTATTAATGGAATGGAACAGATAATAGAACAGAACAGGTTCTTTATATATTATGTGCTGATTTTATCAATAACAATGTGTTGCTTTATCCATACTTAACATTATAGTATAGTATATATAGTATTAACCTTATACTGTTACAACATGTCCAAATCAGTTATTTCAAAACTTAAACCTCTGCTCTTTGAAACATATATAAAACGTAACTGAAATGAAATTGCCATGTTGTCATATTTTAACTGAAACATATGTCTAAATTATCCCATTACTCCAATAGAATCAAATTGAGTTTTATTATAAACCTCTGCTCTTTGAAACATATATAAAACGTAACTGAAATGAAATTGCCATGTTGTCATATTTTAACTGAAACATGTCTAAATTATCCCATTACTCCAATAGAATCAAATTGAGTTTTATTCATTTGTTAGTATGAAATCTTACTTAGAATCGAAATGAATTTTTTATTTTCTATTGTGCTGATATTATTAATATCTATTGCGAGAAGTGTTCCTTTATCCATCCCATCCACCCATCTAAACCAGGGAATAAGACTTAGTTCATATTAGCCATATCGCAACTGCAATATGATCAAGTAGATATTTATTCATCAACTTCATTAATAATATCGCCGTCTCGCATAAAACATGAACTCAATCCATGTAAACATGTCAGTAGTCACGTATGTTGACAGTAAAAAAAGAAAAAAAATTCAAGTTAAATCAAAAATAAATATGCATTTATTTTTGTTTAACCTTTCCTTTTGTCCTCAATTGCTTGTTAGTAAAATATTCGATTTTATACTTTATTGTTTGCAGATTTCTGGGTTATATTGAGCTACTGTGTACATTTTTATTACATTTTTCTTCAGCACATTTAGCACATTCTTCACATACTTACAGAAAAAACACAGTTTATTTCATTATAGTGTATCAAGAAAGAAAGAAAAAATGAGCCGATTTAAATTTCACTGGAGGAACACAGTTTAATGTTAAAACGCCTTGATGGATTTGTTTCATTCTAACACACAGCTTTTCACTTTTCAAGACATTAATTGATGGACTGGAGCTGTTTGGACACTGATTCTGACGGCACCCATTCACTTCAGATGATCCATAGGTAAACTAGTGACCAATGCTACCAAAATATCTCCAGATCTGTGCTGATGAAGAAACAACCTCATTCATCTTGGATGGCGTGAGGGTGATTACATTTTCAGTAATAGAACAGAACAGAACAGAACAGAATAGAACAGAATAGAATAGAATGTGGAGGACCAGTATTATATTATAGGGTTGTCTAATGTTTTTAATTAGACAGACAGACCATTCAATTGAATGAATTAGAAAAAAAAACTTTAGTTGTTTATTATGCTTTTTTATTACACTTGATTTTGGGATTGTAGGCATGTAAATAATCTTATGTAAAATTCATCTCCACTGGTGGGCATGACTGCATGGTCCCTCTGCTCTGTCTGCCCCCGCCTGTGCACTAACGACGGTGGGGCAAGAGAGAGAAAAACGAGAGAGCGAGAGACAGACGTCAGAGAGAGGGAGACTATGCAGCCTGCCATACAGAAGTGTATAGGGCAGTGGATGTAAATAAACCGTGTATCCATACTTTTCTTATTCCCACCCCCTTTTACCCGAGCCAGAGACGGGACTTGGATAACGATTCGTGATGAAAATATCATTGGGGACACCCAAAATTAAATAATCTGATAACGTAAGGGCCTTCCGCAAAAAATCGGATTAATTTTAAGGGTGAGGACCGGGAGTGCTGGGGAGCTCGTCGCCGGCTTCCGGACATTTTGGGGCGGCATTGAAACCGCAGACGTCGCTCCTGGGGAGAAAGCAAGCTAAATAATCTTCAGCATTGGAGTAAAATCTCTGGAAGTGATAGATTTTGTTTCAGCGATGTCCAGGAAAGTCCAAAGAAGCGAGGTGTGCGCCGACTGCAGTGCACCAGGTAAGGCTGAGATTTATGGATTGAGGCGTTGTTGCGAGCTATCGTTGTCCGGGACTCGGTCGAGCGCGGCCGCTAGCGAGTGAACACCAAGCCCGCGTATGCGCAGGGATACTCGGTTAAGACCATCAGGAAAATGGCCGCAAATTAAGGCCGATATCGCGGCCCAACAAACCAGCTAATTCAAACCGTCTCTAAATTTAACACTGAACCTATCTGCGGTTTATAATACAACAGAACAATGGTTGTCCATAAAATAAATCCTTTACCAAACTTCTGTGACTATGAATTTGAGCTGCTTATTGCAGCTTTGCAACCGTGGCTAAAGTTTTATCCGATGCTTCTTGTTAGCACCCATCCTAAGCCAGTTTGACGAGCCTGCGAGGTGCTGTCAATTAAAAGCAACACATTTATACTATACGCAGACTCTTTTATATAAGCATTTTGTAGTGACAGCAAATTATGTTGATTAAAAGTAAGTTTTTAGTGCATATTAAGCACAACACGGGCTCTGTAAAGAACAATGTTAACTCACAGTAGCTAGACAGACTCGTTTGCTAAAAGTAGCCTGCGGACTCTCGTCTGACTCCCTTACCACACCAGTAACTGTTATTCGAGTAAAACACTTTTTTTGTGTTTACAGTCTGTAAATGCTTTATGGCTACTAAGAGTGCTAGTTGAGTTTGTCCAGTACAGTTCTCCAAATGTAGTAAATCTAAACTTGGGCTGAGACGAGTTAGCTAACTAGCATTAACGTTAGCAGGTTGACAGGACGCATCAAATTCTGCCGTGGGTCAGTCTTTACTTGTGTTTGTGCACCGCTTTGCTTATTCATATCCTTTTTGTTGGTAGATATTGTTTAGTGACACATTTCCTGAATGTTTATTTGTTTATTAATGTGTTTTGTTTATTTCTTGTACCGCATGTTGTTCCAAAGTATAATAGATATTTACATAATGTATATTTTTCAACAGGAATATTTCTGTATGCTGTTGCATAATGCTACAAGGGAATTCATTTGTTATTATTCTTTATTATTCTCATAGTGTGCTTACATAAATTAAGCATTACATTTCCTTGCTGGAAAAAAATGCTTAAACCAGCCTAAACTGGTTTACTGGTCTTAGCTGTTTTAAGATGGTCTCCCTGTTTGGCCAAGCTGTTGTGTAGTTGATCTTCAACCTGGTCTCTCAGCATGACCAGCTGAAAAGTTCCCAAACCCCTCTAAAACCAGCCAACAGATCAGTATGACCAGGCTGGGACACAGACAAAAACCAGCTTTATGCTGGTTTGAGCTGTTTTTTTGTTTTTTTTTATCACAGATGGCCTTCATAAAATGATCAGTACAGTATTTCTGCTATGATTATGAGCAACATGCCAAAATCATAGCTGGCGGAAAAGATATATTGATTTATTTCTGATGTATGTACAGGTTTCCATTGATCTAGATTTCTACATAGTTTATTATAGGTTTGAGTTGTTCTTATCTATTTCTAGTCCCATCATACATGCCCTTGGGCAGGGCACAATTGCCTAAATTCTACAGAGAAAAAAGATGGAAGTTGGTGTTGCCTTTATATTTTAAATAAAGTAGAACTTCATATGTTTGTCTGGCTTTTCTTAGCCATTTGTCCCAAAAGCATTGTTCAATACGTTTACCAGCAAGTTAGGACATAATAAAGCCTTCAGTTGTTTACAAAACATATTTCTGATGCCGCTCAGCTGTGCCGTCACTTCAAGCCCATCCTTGGCCTTGCTCATTTTGCCTCACCGTCCCCCATGGGGGAGACCAAGGGGGTGGTATGGGGGGCATGACAGCTGCTTCCTCATCCACAGGAATGAACGTGTATGTGGGAGTGCGTCTTGTTTTTGACAGTTTAGTTCTGTTTCACCTCCTCAGCTACCATGCTCGAAGATCGGCCACAAGTGCTGTCACCATGCCCCTGGCCGACGACTTCACATCTGAGGGCTTGTGTGACTTTTTTGCATCCTCACACGCTCTGTGTCTTTGTGTTGGCCTGTCCTGCGGTGCTAATAGAGCTTGTCATTTTCGTGTTTGACATGTTGTAGGAATGTAGGTAATGGTGAGTGCGTCGGAAGGTGAGGAACTGATGACAGAGAGAGGAGGAGGAGGAGGAGGATGGGTGCCGGGGAAACAGACAGACGGATGCATTCTAGTAAATGTATTATGGGTATGAATGAACGTGTGGAAGATCGTTCAGTCTTTACTTGTGTTTGTGCACCGCTTTGCTTATTCATATCCTTTTTGTTGGTAGATATTGTTTAGTGACACATTTCCTGAATGTTTATTTGTTTATTAATGTGTTTTGTTTATTTCTTGTACCGCATGTTGTTCCAAAGTATAATAGATATTTACATAATGTATATTTTTCAACAGGAATATTTCTGTATGCTGTTGCATAATGCTACAAGGGAATTCATTTGTTATTATTCTTTATTATTCTCATAGTGTGCTTACATAAATTAAGCATTACATTTCCTTGCTGGAAAAAAATGCTTAAACCAGCCTAAACTGGTTTACTGGTCTTAGCTGTTTTAAGATGGTCTCCCTGTTTGGCCAAGCTGTTGTGTAGTTGATCTTCAACCTGGTCTCTCAGCATGACCAGCTGAAAAGTTCCCAAACCCCTCTAAAACCAGCCAACAGATCAGTATGACCAGGCTGGGACACAGACAAAAAACAGCTTTATGCTGGTTTGAGCTGTTTTTTTGTTTTTTTTTATCACAGATGGCCTTCATAAAATGATCAGTACAGTATTTCTGCTATGATTATGAGCAACATGCCAAAATCATAGCTGGCGGAAAAGATATATTGATTTATTTCTGATGTATGTACAGGTTTCCATTGATCTAGATTTCTACATAGTTTATTATAGGTTTGAGTTGTTCTTATCTATTTCTAGTCCCATCATACATGCCCTTGGGCAGGGCACAATTGCCTAAATTCTACAGAGAAAAAAGATGGAAGTTGGTGTTGCCTTTATATTTTAAATAAAGTAGAACTTCATATGTTTGTCTGGCTTTTCTTAGCCATTTGTCCCAAAAGCATTGTTCAATACGTTTACCAGCAAGTTAGGACATAATAAAGCCTTCAGTTGTTTACAAAACATATTTCTGATGCCGCTCAGCTGTGCCGTCACTTCAAGCCCATCCTTGGCCTTGCTCATTTTGCCTCACCGTCCCCCATGGGGGAGACCAAGGGGGTGGTATGGGGGGCATGACAGCTGCTTCCTCATCCACAGGAATGAACGTGTATGTGGGAGTGCGTCTTGTTTTTGACAGTTTAGTTCTGTTTCACCTCCTCAGCTACCATGCTCGAAGATCGGCCACAAGTGCTGTCACCATGCCCCTGGCCGACGACTTCACATCTGAGGGCTTGTGTGACTTTTTTGCATCCTCACACGCTCTGTGTCTTTGTGTTGGCCTGTCCTGCGGTGCTAATAGAGCTTGTCATTTTCGTGTTTGACATGTTGTAGGAATGTAGGTAATGGTGAGTGCGTCGGAAGGTGAGGAACTGATGACAGAGAGAGGAGGAGGAGGAGGAGGAGGAGGATGGGTGCCGGGGAAACAGACAGACGGATGCATTCTAGTAAATGTATTATGGGTATGAATGAACGTGTGGAAGATCGTCAATTGCATGGCCACTGAGGGCTGAATGGCGCCGTGTGTGAGCATTAGAGAGTGTACACGTGAAATTTCATTACGAGCAGAGAGAAACTCATTTGAGATGTTAATGGTTTCAAGCACTTATAAGAAGGATGAGCATGTTAGTTAAGAAGTATGGCATCATCTTTGATTTTCCCACACAGGTGCTCAGCTCCATCTCTGTGAACGTCTGGCCATCTTTAAACAGATATAATGCGGTATTTTTTTTTACAATTAAGCCAGTAATTCTGAAGTTCTTCATCACATGCAAGATTCAAACTGTTGGTTAGAATCTGAACATTTGGTGGATTAAAATAAGCCTAAAATAAGGAAACAAGCAGGCCTTTTACTTAACATTAATTCTGGCTTTTTCTTTACCTTGGATGCCTCCTTGTTCTATTATTTTAATAAAAAGAAAATACTGGACTGGAGTAATGGCTGATGAAAATTCAGCTTTGCCATCACAGGAATAAATTACTCTTTAAAATATATTAAAATAGAAAACATATGTTTTAAATTGTAATATCGTTTCACAGTATTGCTGTTTTTAGTTATAAAACATAATCAGTATTACAAAAAAACAAAGCATCAACCATTTTAGGTGTCATATTGTGTTTGCATTCATACGGGAAATCAATAATCATGTTATGACACTGTTTACATCAGTGTAATTGCATCAAAACCCCGCTTAGTGAGATTCTGTGGATGAAATTATGTGCTTGAAGTATTGTGGGTGCTGGTTTAATTTTAGCCAGATCCTGAGGGCCTGTGGCAGCCAGAGGCACACTTCTGTCACATTGTGACTTAGTCAGTTTTCTGTTTACTTGAATGTCACCTTCTTCCTGAATGCACTTGTACCCTGCTTGATATGAGGAGAGCTCTTTTCCTCCGATGAGCTCATTCAGTGCAGGGCAAAGATGTTGACATTTCATTTTTTTGCAGCATGTTCGTATGTATGTCAGAAGGAAATATTTATGTAAATCCATTAAACATTGTTTTCACAACTTTTAAGTTTTTAATTTGCAATAATAGCTGGAAATTATACAGCTATTGTTTAAAAAAATGACTGCAATAAATTCATAAATGCACTTTTGCTGGCCAAATAATGTTGTTTGCTTATAATTTTTAACCATTCTTACTGATGCTTCCAACACTAAGACAAATCATTCTCACAATTTCCACAACCTCGTCTCGTCGTTCAATATAGTACCGAAAACCGAATTCAGTTTATATAAGATGTAGGAGTAGGTCCAGGACTATAAACACATAAAGTCTTTCCACTTCCTGTCCTTATGTGTCTTTTTTGCTTGTTAGAAAAATCAACCCTCAATTGATGTTGGAACAAAAAACTTGTTTTCACCACAAGATAAAAAAAAAAAAGAATTGTACATTATCATGTATTTTCAGACCCGGGGTGGAGCAGTATAAACCGAGGGGTTCTGATCTGCGATGAGTGCTGTTCTGTGCACAGGAGCCTGGGCCGTCACATTTCCATCGTCAAACACCTGCGACACAGTGGCTGGCCTCCTTCCCTACTGCAGGTAACTAAAGAGCCTCTCACACACGTATTTCTGTCATTTTCCTCAGGATCATAGCCTTATAAATACATGTATGCATCTCAGATGGTGCAGACCCTGGCCAGTAATGGAGCAAACTCGATCTGGGAACACTCTCTGCTGGATCCAGCACAAGTTCAGAGTGGGCGCAGGAAACCGAACCCACAAGATAAAGTCCAGTAAGCCATCTCATAAACCATTCATGCATCATGCATATACCAGAATGTCATAAAAACAGAAGACTGGGGGTGTAATTCTTGTTTTATTGGTCTGTGCAGTATATAATTGTTCTCATGGAGCTCCATGTAATAGCAGACCTCTGAGACGAGACTAGCAAATCTGCTCACTCAGAATAAATGAAAGGGGGTTTTAAAAGTAAAATACAGAGTAATTAAAAAGTAATTTGCCAGAGCAGTTGCGCAGTGGTTCGCCCAGTCTCATTTACAAATCATAAGCTCATGCAGGTGACGAAAGTTTAAGGAATTTCCTGTGCCGTCTTCATTGCACCTGTAATAAAAAGGCAAATATCCATGAGTAAATGTATTCAAATGCCTAATTACTTATTAATATTCCTCTAAGCAGTTGTACAATGTTACCTGACACCTAAGAGACACCACACCTGCCACAATTTCTCTTAAAGGGGTAGTTCAGCCACAAATGAAAATTACCCTATGATTTACTCACTCTCTAGCCATCCACAAATGAAAATTACCCCATGATTTACCCACCCTCAAGCCATCCTAGGTTTCTATGACATTCTTCTTTCAGACGAATACAATCTGAGTTATATGAAATAATGTCCAGGCTAATCCATGCTTTATAATGGAAGTGGATGGTAGCACAAAATTTGAAGTCCAAAAAATTGCACCCATCCATTATAAAAGAAGTCTACATGGCTCTGGGGGGTTAATAAAGGCTTTCTGAAGTGACGTGATGCGTTTGTGTAAGAAAAATATAAATTTTTACAACTTTATAAACCTTAATCTCTAGCTTCTGCTAACTGTCGTATGCACGTTCACGAGAGAGTGGCGTCCAATTTTTTGGATTTAAAATTTTGGGCTACCATCCACTCCCATTATAAACTCTGATTGTATTCGTCTGAAAGAAGAATGTCATATATACACCTAGGATGGCTTGAGGGTGAGTAAATCATGGGGTAATTAACATTTTTGGGTGAACTATCCCTTTAAAGTCTTTGAAAGTGTATTTTGAAATATTTTCTTTAAAAAAAAAAAAACAGCAGACAAACACTACTATTTTTTTCCATTTTCCTATGTATGTAACATGAATACAATTACAGACCCTATTTATTTGAAGAAAGACTAAAACTTTAGGCATCTAAGATTAACTTATAATTTATTCCAGATCTTTAAATTACGATTTGGTTTGATTTAAATCAAGCCTGTCCATTACATCAGAGCAGGAGCCATTGTTTTAAATAAACAGTCGTGACTTTATTGATGTAGGCAGGACTACTTACCAAGCATTCCATTTTATATTGATTCCTTGATTTTGAAATTGATCTCCATTTGTTTCTGTTTGTATATTTCACCCCACAGCCCCACTAAGTCAGAGTTCATTCGCGCCAAGTACCAGATGTTAGCCTTCGTCCACAAGCTGCCCTGCCGTGATGATGATGGGGTCACTACGAAGGACCTCAGCAAGGTTAGACCTCCCAAAGGCATCACCTCTCATGACTCTTTATCTCAGTCTCTTCCCTCTCACTCTCATTCCATCTTTCCTCCTCGGCCTCTCTCTGCTCCCCACTGTCTGTGCCCTTGCAGGAGGGCCCTTAAAACGACACCCCGCTAGTGAATAAATGTGTCTTCCTCAGTGCTATTGAATGGCCCTAATGAGAGGATGTGCAGGAGGTCTGCTCGCTTTCTGTGTCTTTTATGCTGGGTCCCTCTCTTTTTCTCTCTCATGCACTCGCTTATTCTCTTGTTCTTGCTTGCAGCAACTCCACTCAAGTGTGAGGACAGGAAGTCTGGAGACGTGTTTACGGCTGCTGTCACTAGGGGCACAAGCCAACTTCTTTCACCCGGTAAGATCTGCCATCTCGCACAGTTCTCTTTGTTCTGTCAGTTTTTTCTGCATCATAACTAAAATAGAAACTGTGATTTCTATATTGTTAGATATAATTTTTTTGTTGTTTATTGTTGGAACTAAGGACGTTTCTATGTATACCTATGAACTTTGTTGTCCTGACTGTTTATGACATCCGATTTTTACAAATCTGATCCAAAGCATAAATACTTTACAAACCAAAATATTTCTAGTTTTGTTTTTTCTTGATTCTAATGATATTACTGTGGCAAACAATATAGATATAAAAAAAAAAGATCTGGTTTCATTACCTGTGAAACAACAGTGCAGACAGTCAGTCCAAAAGACTGTATTTGAAAACAGCAGAGTGAACCGCGCCTGTCACATGCCTGATGTTCCCTCCACAGGAAAAGGGCACGACCCCTCTACATGTGGCCGCCAAAGCGGGGCAGGTTCTGCAGGCCGAACTGCTGGTGGTGTATGGAGCGGATCCAGGAGCTCCAGATATCAATGGCCGCACACCCATAGACTATGCCCGGTAAATATAAAACACAGAGGTCACTGGATCCTCGGCACTGATCGATTTAATCTATCTATCTATCTATCTACAGTATCTATCTATCTACAGTATCTATCTATCTGTCTGTCGGTCGGTCGGTCTGTCGGTCTGTCGGTCTGTCGGTCGGTCGGTCGGTCGGTCTGTCGGTCTGATGTTCTCTTGCTCTGTCCTTCTGCCATTCTATTTCTCTGTTTGTCGTTCTATCGCTATGTCTGTCTATTTATCTGTCTGTCATTTTATCACTCTGTTTTGTTGTTATAGCTCTGTCTTTTGGCCTTATGTTCTACCGCTCTGTCTGTGTCTGTCTGTCCTCCTATTGCTCTGTCTGTCTGTTGTTTTATAGTTCTGTCAGTCTGACGTTCTACCGCTCTGTCTGTCTGCCTTTCTATCACTCTATTTGTATGTCTAGCTAATGTTTTTGAAAGGATCTAGAGTCTTTGGTTTGTAATGTGACTTTGTTCTTGCAGGCAAGCAGGTCACGTGGAGCTTGCCGAGCGCTTGGTAGAGTGTCAGTATGAGCTCACAGACAGACTGGCCTTCTATCTGTGTGGACGTCGCCCAGGTGAGTTCAGAGTACTTGTTTTACACTATTTCCTTTAAAGGGGTCATATGATGCGATGTTACAAGCTCTTGGTGCATAAAGAAGATCTGTAAAGTTGCAAAGACTAAAGTCTCAAATCCAAAGAGATATTCTTTATAAAAGTTAAGAGTCAACCACGCCTACCTAAAACGGCTCGTTCTAACATGCCCCCACATGTCTATGTCACGATGTGGGAAGATTTGCATAACGCTGTCCAAATGTTCACGCAAAGAAAGAAGGCGTAACTTTTATTCTCGCTGTAGTATTGTTGCTGCCGCCATGTCGTGAAGGTGCTGTGTGTTTCGTTGTGAAAGCGAAACTACTTTGTTTGGCCTTCCAAAAGAGGACGCTATCCGCTTCGTCATGCCTAGAGCTGATCCGTGCTGGTCGCTGAGGAAATACATCAACTTCGCGCTGTGGATCGCCGGATCGGCTTTCACCGTGGACGAAGCGGAGTCCAGCCCGGAGTTGTCACATGTGGTTGCTGCAAGCCCACCGGCCGCTTCTTCGTCGAATCCGCCGGCCACCGCTCACTCAAGGCCACCATGTGTGACACTGTGTTTCGTTGTGAAAGCGAAACTACTTTGTTTGGCCTTCCAAAAGAAACAACTAGACACGACTAGAAATCAGTGGTTAAGTTGTATTTACAACACTGTTCCAGAACAGTTCAACCCAAATATTCAGATATGTGCAGCGCATTTTATGGAGGACTGTTTCCTGATCCTGGTAGAGTAGACTACAATGCCGGCTGTTCTGACTCTCAGACTGCAAGTAAGTTTTTTATATATAAAGAATTTGCCACTGACAACTCAAACGCAAGTTTTGAGCAGTGTAGAGTAGTGCTTGTTGTTTGTCGTTTCTCCGATCACAAATGCAGACATGGTTTTATGTTTACGCGGCGCAATGCAATGCGTAAAAAGACAGTATAAGTCATTATAATCCGTAATTATGTCCCCACTGGATGCAACAAATGCCTAGCTTATAATGGGTTTTTATGTTTTTGTCTCGTCGCTCCGGCCAGGACACGGCATCACAGTATGGTAGGGGCATAACATTTCCGTCACACGCTTGAGGTATTCGGCCAATCACAACGCACTGGATAGCTGGCCAATCAGAGCACACCTCGCTTTTCAGACCGATGAGGTTTGTAAAAATCGATGCGTTTCAGAAAGGCGGGGCATAGAGGAGAAACAATAATGTACAGCATGTGGAAAATAATGTGTTTTTTGAACCTTAAACCGCATAAACACATTTCATTACACCAAATACACAAAATAATGATCTTTTTAGCAACATCATATGACCCCTTTAAAAATGGCCATAATTCAAATTGTGTTGCTTCTTAGATGTCCAAATTGCAAAGAGTGTTGATAAACAGGTTTATAGTGCATATCTAACGTTTTCTGCTGAGTGTAGTGCGCTTTCCACACAAAAATAGACTCAGCGCTGAAACACTTATTGCATCTAAGCTTCTCCTGTGAGGCTTACAAGTGCAGTGTGAATACTGTAACCTGATAATTTGGCCGTCAAAATAAATATGTCCTAGATGTGTGTGTGTGTGGTGTGAAATGGACCAATCTGTCCTCCCAAATGAGGATGAACATTTCAACATTATTTTTCTTGTGTCTGTGTTTTTGCAGATCACAAGAACGGCCATTATATCATCCCTCAGATGGCAGACAGGTACATTGTTTGTGTATGACAGTGTTTTTGCATGTGTCCAATTCGTAATAGAATAAATATTGTGTATAAATATTGAAGCTCATCAATGCAGTTTTATTTATTTCCTGTCATGATATCCTCCCTCAAGTCTTTTCCTTATCGCTGCCCATACAGGGTAGATACAGTGTACTAAGATCAGTTTGCAGCGGGTGTATTTGTGCGTGCTGGCCAGCAGGTTGTGCCACAAGGTCAATCAGTTTGCATTAGGGCTGAGAGTGTCCTCAGCCTATGTAGCGCTGACTACTTCAAATGCACCACAGCTGAATGACCTTTACTGACCTGTCCAGACGAAGTGTTGATGTGGGGTCTATCCCTTTTCGTTCTCTCTCTATCTGTCTGTCTTCTGCTCACTTTTCGGTCTGGCTCACTCGTTCTCTGTTCTCTCCATCTTGCTGCGCTTTTGGAGGCAGAGCTCGCCCTAAGTGCCCGACGCAGAGGTATCTCTTTCTTTCTCTTCTCATCCCCCTCTCCATAAACCCTGCTCTCTTTCTTTCTCACATGGCCTTCATCTGGGCGTGGGTGACTAGAGGGATGAGGCAGAAAACACATCTACAGGAGTCTGAAAACAATTTTTGTTTAATATCCCATCATTTTCCATCCCATCAAGTCCAATATAAAATCATGATTTACCCTTTTTACTTGAATATATATTCCCTGTCATATTGTGTACAATTCAGTGCATGTTATTTTTAATTGTTCCACCTCAGAAACAAATGTCCTTTCTGCTGATGTCTTCTAGGCCACGCAGGCCCCATAACAGCGGGACATTAGAATGGAAATAGTTGTAAGCGAATAAATATTGTGTATAAATATTGAAGCTCATCAATGCAGTTTTATTTATTTCCTGTCATGATATCCTCCCTCAAGTCTTTTCCTTATCGCTGCCCATACAGGGTAGATACAGTGTACTAAGATCAGTTTGCAGCGGGTGTATTTGTGCGTGCTGGCCAGCAGGTTGTGCCACAAGGTCAATCAGTTTGCATTAGGGCTGAGAGTGTCCTCAGCCTATGTAGCGCTGACTACTTCAAATGCACCACAGCTGAATGACCTTTACTGACCTGTCCAGACGAAGTGTTGATGTGGGGTCTATCCCTTTTCGTTCTCTCTCTATCTGTCTGTCTTCTGCTCACTTTTCGGTCTGGCTCACTCGTTCTCTGTTCTCTCCATCTTGCTGCGCTTTTGGAGGCAGAGCTCGCCCTAAGTGCCCGACGCAGAGGTATCTCTTTCTTTCTCTTCTCATCCCCCTCTCCATAAACCCTGCTCTCTTTCTTTCTCACATGGCCTTCATCTGGGCGTGGGTGACTAGAGGGATGAGGCAGAAAACACATCTACAGGAGTCTGAAAAAATTTTTGTTTAATATCCCATCATTTTCCATCCCATCAAGTCCAATATAAAATCATGATTTACCTTTTTTACTTGAATATATATTCCCTGTCATATTGTGTACAATTCAGTGCATGTTATTTTTAATTGTTCCACCTCAGAAACAAATGTCCTTTCTGCTGATGTCTTCTAGGCCACGCAGGCCACATAACAGCGGGACATTAGAATGGAAATAGTTGTAAGCTCACATTTAGGTCATAACATTCTAGTATGGATCACAATCCAATCAGTTCCTAATGAATTCAAATAAGTAAAAACCACTCCTGTTCCTCCTCATCTTTTCTGGCTGCCCGTGTCCCGTCCCTTACGCCGCACTTCATCCATCCATTCATCCACCTCTCTTTTTTCCTCTCTCCTCATCTTTCTCTGTCCGCATGCCGCCAGCATCCTTTTATTCTTGTGTCTGTGTCTTTGTCTTTACGTAGCCTGGACCTCTCTGAACTGGCCAAGGCAGCCAAGAAGAAGCTTCAAGCGGTGAGTGATGCAGGTTAATGAGCTGCTACAGAGAATTATGGGAATTTGAGTTTTTAGACAGGCACAACACAAAGCAACAAGCGATAAAAGCTTTTCCATGTAAAGCCCAAAGTATACTTCAGTTTGATTTTAATGGTGTGTATCTCCTAACCACCTGACACAACACGGCTGTCTTGTTTTTTGGTTTGTTTCTTTTACAACTGTAAAACTACTGGCCTGTCAGTGTTGCCCACCTGTGCTGATGATGAAAATTACATTACATGAACTATACACATACCCTTAGCATAACAAATATACTTTGGGCTTAAAGTCCAAAGTCTGTCAAACAGAAGTTGTGACTGTATTTATTTACTTCAGTATTGTGATATATTTCAGAGTAAAATGGAATACTGGATGAATGACAGATTAATTGTTTACCACAAGACTAGTAATATGCACTAAGAAATAGGGTCGATTTAATTCCACGTTTTTGCATTAACCAGCTCTGTCAAGTAAACAGGACATTTTATTTATAGTTTTTGTATTACTGCGCTGCGAAGCTATGCCGACACTAAAATCTCATTGGTCCAAAATTTTGTTCCACATATTAAATTAAAAATGTTCTTATTGACTATGATTGTATTGCATCACACAACGTTTTTTATTTCAGTGTGGCCATATGAATTACTTGTCACAGGAATTCTGGTTAGGCTCTTTTCTTGAGAGATTTGAGACGAGTATGTTTAATAAACTCTTCAAATGCTTAGAAATTCAGTAGATAAATTTAGCAGATGCTTCAAATTCCCTTAGCTTGCATTTAATCTTTATTTAGTGCCTTGTTGGAGCATGTTGCTTTGTTTTGTCCTCCTGTTGTGTGTGTGTGCTCAGTTTTTGTTGTGATTTTGTGTTCTTTCCCCTCTGTCTGAATTTTAATGCTACATACTGTTGTGTGTGTGTGGGTGTGGATGCAGTTAAATAACCGTTTGTTCGAGGAGCTGGCTATGGATGTGTACGATGAAGTGGACCGTAGAGAGAATGATGCAGGTAAGACACAAACCCCCATCTGTTCCTGTCCCAACTTTCCCTGCTTCTCACTCTTTCTGTAATGTAGTTATGGAGCAGTCCGGAGGCTAGGGGACAGTTGAATCTGTGTCCCTGGAGACACAGTGATCGGTGTGTTGTATAAACACTGACTATAGAAGGACTTGAGCAGTGCAGTCAGCTTGTAGAGAAGGGAGGGAGAGAGACGCCAAATGGAAAGGAGGGTGAAAGGGAGCGAGAGCGAAGGAGCACTGCAGGAATTCTCTCCTCCTCCTCCTCCTCCTCTCTCTACTCCCGTTCCTGGTTGTAGAGGAGAAGAGGTAGCATGCTGGGGTGGCAGACTAGGATTCTGATGGTAAGCAGGGCTGGGAGCGAGGCAGGGGGCCAAACGCACACATAAACACACAAACTGAATGGGAGGGGTAGATGCGAACTCTCTGAAACCTCAGGGCTTCGACATCAGAGTCTGTTTATTTATATTTGTCTTGTTTATATATGTCCATTCTGTTTCTCTTAGTGTGGCTGACAACTCAGAACCACAGTACGCTTGTGACGGAACGGAGCGCCGTCCCCTTCTTACCCGTCAACCCTGAATACTCAGCGACACGCAACCAGGTAACACACAGCATTTTAGAGGATGTGTTTGAAGTATGTTTGGGAGGAGGTTCTCTGTTCCTGCTGTAAGGAGCCCGTGTAAGGCCCGTCACTTCCATGCAGGCCCATTTTTGATGGAGGCACGAAGGAGAGATGATATCTGGGGTACAGACGACATGGGGCTAAAAATAGACATTTTGTGGTTGTGCAAACGTCTGAGGCTCAGGTTTGGGCGGCAGACCAACGAATGGATGTTTTCCAACTGCGTAACTGCTGCAGATGCACAGCGGCTCCCTCCCCCTCAGCGTTTCCACTGGCATCCTTGCATGACCCTCTCTGTACCACTGCTTGAAATAGTTATTTTATACAGCGAGACCAATAAGTGCGTTTACTCAAGGGTACGTTTCCTGCGGACTACATCCACTGGTCAAGAGTTGGAACACTGAACTGGTGATGTGGCAGTGTTTTTCAGTATTTAACATGTCCAAGTCGCCCTCTACCAGAATGGACAGTTCTGTAATGGCATATGTATTGCAGAGTGACTAAGTGATTAAATAAAACTTTAGGAATAACTTGTAAATTTGACTAACAATCAGGCACAGAATCCTGCAGAGCTCCACAGAAAAGCTATCCTGTAAAAAGATTTCCTGTATAGAATCATTCATAAAATTCTACACATCCCCCACATTTTTGTTTATTAAATATTTAGGCTAATTTGAAATATGTTCTGCTCCTAAAAAGTGTATAGTACTCTTGAGTCCTAGAACACGTTCTAGTTTGACAACGTTTTGCGTGTTAATCTTAGTTAGGGTCTGTTTATAATTGCATTATTTATTTCTAAAAACACATTAATGATTTACACTATTGTTCAAAAGATTTGGGATTAGTAATGTTATTTAATGTAAAGTCTCTTATTTTTTTTATTTTATGCCCATAAATGCTGAATTTATTTGATTAAAATACAGTAAAAAAAAGTAATATTGTAGAATATTGCAATTTAAAATAGCTATTTTCTATTTTATTATATAATTAGATTTTTAATATTTTCATATTTTGTAGAATATATATATTTAGTGGGCAATCGATTAAAAAAATGAACTAAATCTCATTTTTTTCTGAAGTTAATCATGATTCGCGATTAATCCCACCTAACATTAAAGTTTTTAAATATACCTTTATATTGCAATAATTTCACATTCAAGCTTCAAATAATAAAGAAACAACAAAAAGACAGTATATTTTTTATATTTGTTTAATGGCATCTTTTTTTATGACTGAAGGCGAGTATCACTGATACCAATACTAATGTCTCTATGAAATAGTTTTTTTAATAATTAACAATTAACCATTAAAAGGATAGTTCTCACCTTCAGTTGCTGGTCCCTGTGATGATTGCGTTAAATATTTTGAACACGTTAAACTGAAAAAATTAATCACCAGCGTTAACATACCAATTTTGACAGCACTAATATATCCAGTCTTTATTGTCACATGATCCTTCAGAAATCATTCTATCATGCTGATTTGGGGTTCAAGAAGCACTACTACTTATTAATGTTTAAAAATTATTTACAATTTTTGTAGAAACTGCTACTTTTTTTTTCTTTCTAAAAGCTTTTCTGTAACAACATTTTACTGTCACTTTTGATCAATTTAATGCATCCTTTTCTATAAATAATATATGCATATATGTGTATTTATTTGTGTATATATTTTTTTGTCATTGATAGGGGCGGCAGAAATTGGCTCGCTTTAACGCACGAGAATTCGCCACCCTCATTATCGACATTCTCAGTGATGCCAAGCGACGGCAGCATGGAAAAGGCCTTACAAGCCCCACAGGTGAGACGGCCACATTGCATTTGTCAAACTTACAGGTTTTAGTGGAATATCAACAATACAGCTTCAGTAAAGACAGATATAGCTAAGCCAGTGCAGTTTTTGAGACTCTCATTGCCTCCCCATATTAATGATGTTATCTTTCATTTTTGAGGTTGTTTTTCAGACCCGCTGGATCTGAGTCAGGCGGATGATGACCAACACGATTATGACAGTGTAGCGTCTGATGAAGACACAGACAGCGAGCTAACCGCACAGAATAACAACAACACTCAGCGCAACAACCGAGCCAAGGTCAGCTCATCTAAACTCTTACTCGCTCACTGGGTGTTTACCTGAGGAAAATGTACTCCACCTAATCCTAATTATGAGTTGTCTGAGGTTGAAGATTTGTGTTCATCCATCCAGACTTCCATCATTCTTAATAATGAAACCACTTGATTGAGTTGAGGAACATCTTTAAAACCTTTGGAGAAACAAGTTCAGATATTTCACTGAATCTTAAGAAATGTTTAATTTCTTGTATTGTAGGTTAGGCCTTGGCAGATGTTGATATTGGTTTTGCCAGACCAGCAAATTAGTATATTCAATAGTACAGAAGCCAGTGTTGTCATGTCCCAGCATGCACCACTGGAAGAGCAGCAACAGCAGCCCTCCCTCATATTTGCAGAATGACATCATCCCCTTTTCAAGGCTGTGATCAGTGAAACTATTGTTCTGCAGCTGAAGACAGGATGCTGTGTCTGAGCATGCTCACTCCTTATTCAGGAAGTGACATGGCTGAGTGTAGGAGAGCACAAAGTAAACCCCGTATTCCTCGCTGTCTGGTTGAGGAATGTGGGGTTTAAAACCTTCTCCTGTAGCACTGCTGTTTGTCATATTGTACAGTTCTTAATTTTTTGTGTGAAAATTAGAGATGCACTGATCGACCGGCCAGGGACCGGAATTAGCCAAACAGCAGAACTGTTGTGAGTCTCCGAGCAACACACAGCGGTGTTTTACTGAATGAATCCACGTTTTTGAACGAATCGAGTGAGTCAATGATTCAGTAACCCATTCATAAAGACGGTCACTTGCCTCATTTCTAAATGAATCAACCGATTGAAGGAATCGGTTAAATTATTAAATTATAATGGCTAAATGACTCACTCATTAAAACAGTCATTTGCCGCCACCTACTGGTGGTTTGGTTTCATATTTAAAAGTATCATTGCATTTTCCCCAACATTTATTTATTTGTATGTGCAAAAAATTATTTAAAACATGAATCTTATAAAATAATTAATGTATTTGCAATTTTGTGGTGTAAATTCAATTATGGCACCTCTCAGTTTCATCAAACAGTCTGTTTAAATACATCTAATGCCACTTCAGATGCAGCTTCTGTGTTTCCTGCAGTGGAAAGATGAAGTTTGTTGATACTGATTTCATTTGAATGGTAACAATTCTACAATTTCTTGTTATTCTAACTGAATTAGTTGAAACAATGTAAGAATTTGATGTGAAAGAGGACACATTTAATAAGGTTAGGGAAAAAATGAACATTTATAACAGTGGGTAATGATATGTCTGTTTCGTCATATAGAGCAGCTCATTTTCAATTAATTGTTATTTCTACCTAAGTCACAGAGTACTTTATTTTGAGAGTTGTTTAAGTGAGAGAACATCTGTAACTTAGTCCAGATTGGGGGAATTGTAAGGCTTAATAATTTATTTTATTATGTAAATATGTATTTTTTTGCATTGAAAAAAAGTAGATTTTTGTTTGTATATGCTGTCAATTAGAGTTCTTAAAAAAGAAAATTGGTATCGGCAAAAATCGGCATCGGCAGGTCACACTGACAAAACAATTGCAATCGGTGCATCTCTAATGAAAATTTAATTTTACATTACCTATTCAGTATGCTTTATAATAATATTCATTAAAATCTTCATATCAATGTTAGGTTTATATATACATATGGACATCAGTAATACCTAAAATCATGTAACGTTCTATTAGTTTTCTAAGAGATTGAACTGATTGAATACTGTTTTTGCATATATTATAGACTTGTGGTGGGATCTTTTGACTTACTTTCACACTACTGTTCAAAAACTTTAAAAATATAAAAAAGTCTCTAAAAATACAGTAATAATGTTAAATATGATTACAGTTTAAAATAAGTTGTCTATTTTAATGTAATTTATTGTAATGGCAAAGCTGATTTTTGTTGTTGTTGTTGCTGCATGTAAAAGTTTCTACTTTCATTTTGATCTGTTTAATTCATACTTGCTGAATTAAAATATTTATTTCTTTCAAAAAAGAAAAACAAATCTTGCTGACTCCAGACTTTTGAATGGTACTGAAAAAACTACAATAAATTAATGAAATACATAATTGTGTATATCTTTTGGGACAGAAATCTCTTTCTTCAAATCTGTTCCCTTTACTGCTGTTTATTGTTAATTAAGAGTATATTGTGATTTGATTGGTGATATGTGTTGTGTCAAACAGAGCATGGACTCGTCGGACCTGTCAGATGGGCCCATCACACTACAGGAATATCTGGAGGTGAAGAAAGCATTGGTCTCCTCAGAGGCCAAAGTTCAGCAGCTCATGAAGGTCAACAACAACCTGAGTGAGGAGTTGCGGAGGCTTCAGATCTCAGTTTCAAAAAATTGACCCTTATGACTGGTTTTGTGGTCCAGGGTCACATATGTATAACAGTTAGTTCTGATCCTCGAATCTGACAGTAAAAAAAGACATGTAATGAAACACGCTGTTGAAAGCATTTTAGCTTTGGGCGCCACTTTAGAAGGCTCAGCAGACCACCAATGCGTCGATGCTAAGACAGAGGTTTCGCTTTCCTTGGACATGACAACCTATATTCACAAATATATATGACTCGGCCTGAAGGACAGATGCAGGTGATCGCACACGCTCAGTCGATCTCGCTCTCATTCACGGTCTGTTTAGGCTTGTTAAGTGCAAATATACCAAGCCTCTGTACAAATCAGCATGGTACACATTGTTATCATTACTAACTTGTTTAAAATTCAGTACACTTGCAAGTGTAAAACGAAAAAAGAAAACGTGGAAATCGTCAATAGTGCAGTATTGCGATATTGTGGTTATCGCGACAGCCCTACCCCAAACTTTTAAATAGAAATGTAGATATCTTATACCATGTACTTCCCACTGAGAATGAAGCCCCTCCTTGTTCAGACAACCTTAAACTTCCTGTCCATCAGAACAACCCCTTTTTATCAGCCCCAGCATGACGTAACAGTCCACACGGCAACTGTTGTGTTTTCTTTGGTACTTGTGTTTGTGTATGTGTTTGTGTGACTCCTGGTGATGCCCCTCCATCCCTGTAGATCACGCGGATGCAGATGGAGAACAGCGCGCTGCGGGGGGCCCAGGCTGGGGCCGGGGGTCCTCTGACTGGGGGTGGTGGCCCAGGGCTGTGGCCTGGTAGGGTAAGGGGTACGGGCAGTGGCGGAGGGGTAGGTGGAGACTCCAGCCTAAATGCACCCTCGTCTGCCCCCCACCGCCGGGATAGACAAGCTTTCTCTATGTATGAGCCCGTGGGGACCACCCCCAAAGCTCACACCCCAGCCCTGGACCCCCTGACGGGCCGCCTGCAGCCTCTCAGCCCCGTAAGTGTGAGCATTAGTGGCCGGCCTGATCTTTTTAAACTTCCTTTTCCTGTCGGGCTCTCTTTCTCCCTCTGCTTACCTGAGCCCACACTGATGTGCTGCTGCTTACTCACTGCTCTTTACCGCCACCTTATGGCCAAACAGGAGCACTTCCTGCCCTGATAACACCTTTCTTTTTCTAGATATTGGCTGTCTCTCCAAACTCAGTGTGCTGCCTAAATCAACAGCATTTTTTAGCGTCATGGGTCTCTTATACACCTGGGTAGGGTTGCACCAGCCATTCGTAAATTAGAACATTAAATCCACACTAGAAGCTTTGTAACTACTAGCTAGTTTATAACTAAATCTATACATTATTTGGTTACACCAGTTGTTCGTAAGGCAGCTAGCTAGTACTTCATAAGCTCTCCGTAAAGTAATGTGTAACCGGATAATATGAAGTTTACCCTAAATGGTAATAGAATAGAAGACTTCAAATACGCAAGCAGAACTTGTTTAAATGCTGTGAATTTCAATTTATCGTTCATTCTAACTTATTTTGCCTCATGTAACTAACGGTAAAAATAAGTTTCCATTAAAAATTATACTTAATCATGAAAAACATTATGGCATATAGGGAAGCTAGCTTTGTAAATAACATTCAGAAACCATAATTGAAATATAAGGATCAATAAATACTGAAAGAAAATTTAAAAAACATGAGAAATGCCATTTATTTATTATTACTGATTTCATTTGACATGCGCAATACAGACCAAAGCACACAGAGGGACGCTGTAGATGAGGTGTTGAAAAAGCACTTAAAAAAGTAACCAAGTACGTTTATTTACATATTGTTCTCTCTAACTAAGTGTAATGGTGCAACTACATTTTGTTTAGTAGTGCATAAGTTGTAACTTAGTGCCAATTTACCTCAAAACTAGGCTAAGTTGTAACTTGCGTACAGCTGGTGCAACCGGCCCTTGGTATCAACAGCTTTTTCACATGATTTGATCATAAGTGGACTGTGCTAATTGTAAATATTTTAAGTACACCTACATAAATCACAAACTGCTCCAAAATGTATTTGCATTTGTACTTTTATTTCTGCCTCTTTTTTACTTTTCTTTTTTTTTTGTTGCAGAAATGTATTTATTTCTTTGTTTTTATTCATTTTATTTTTATTAGCTATCAACATGCATAAATGTAATTTTATTATTATTAACTTTGTTTTAAATGCTTTAGCTTCATCACAAACTACTCCCAAATTTATTAGCATTTTTTTTTGCTTGATTTTCATTTTATTTTCTGTAATTTTGTAAACGTGCAGAAATGTTATTTTGGAAGATTTAAAAAAAGGAATCTTATTTATTTTACTTTTTTATTTCTTTAACATTATCATAAACTACTCCCAAAATTGTTTGCACTTGTTTTATTTTCCCTTTTTTCTTAAATTACATTTATTGACATGCAGAATTATTTATTTACTTTTTATTACCTTAACATGCAGAAATTTTATTTTGTGGTAGGTTTTCATGTTACTTTTTAAAATTCTTTAAAAAGCGAATTCTTTAGCTTTATCAACATTCATTTATTTAATGTGGTTCATATTATCACAAAATCATAGACCCTCTAACAAAACCTGATCACAGTCTGTCTCTGGCTCACCCAGAATGCATGTTAATACCAGGTTTGCCTATAATGCTCAAAAATGTTGCTTGGCTAAGCAGCTCATTACATTTTGAGACACAAGCCTTGTATATTGTCTATCTAGCATAGGAAGATAGAAGTGGCATGAATTGCATTGTATTCTTCTTGAAATAGTTGAAATGCCAAGAGAGGCTCTCGTGGAGAGATATGCTTGTCTTGTGCAATATGACATATCTGGAATGTGTAGAAAACTGATTGATTGGTTACCTGATTAGTGAACCTCAAAGAAGTCGATCTGCATGACACACATCAAATGCTTAATGAACTGATTTCTTGTAGTGTGCAGTGAATTGTTGTGCTGCTCCTGACAGCTCTGAAATGAGAAATCATCCTCTGTTTGTGGATATTCATAGACCTGTAGGATGTATTTGAATGTCTTTTGAATGCCTTGTTTTGATTTGCTTTAATTGCTTTTGCAATTATGCAAATATGCCATGTTGTGATTATGCAATATCCCATTTTTGGGTCATTGCCGGCAGTGTGGTGTAGACTTATTTTGTTTTATTAGTCGTGGTTAATGTATTTGGGATTCACCTTTGCGCCTGTTTTATTAACTGCACTTTTTAATGTGTGAGTGTCTATTTTTAGTGTTTTCATTAGTTCAGAGAAGAGGATATGTTATTACACTGTTAATTCAGTTTTGCTTTTGAGTTTAATGTAGAATCTTGCTGTTCTGCAATATTGAAAACCTCTACACTAAGGTTCTTGTGTCTAACAGAATTACAGTCTTTAGTATAACAGTTTTGCTGCAGATTGCCTTACATCTAACAGTCCTGTGCAGAAATGACTATCAAAAGCTGCTTCTTTCCTTTCCATCCTCTGCCTGCTGACTGTCAGCTTTTCTCCTCCTGTTAATCTCATTCTGCTCATGTTCAGGTGCGAAAGTGCGCTCCTGCAGGTCCCACCCCCTACGGAGGAGCACACCTGTCAGCCTCCACTGATGGGCGATATAATGTGAGAGCCTCTTTCCATTCATATCTACACTGACATGCGAGTTAAAGGCTGTGATGTGTATCAGATTTCTGCTCATGTTTGTCTTGTCCAGCCTCCAAAAGCAGGAGAGAAATATGGGAGCGGAACTGATAGTGACTATGACAACTCTCAAACATATGACGTCTCCCTTGGGTGAGTGCTACCGTTAAAAACAAAGCACACCAGATTCAGCATCTTTTTACGTTTGCCTTGTTTCATGTGAAATTTGTGGAGTGAGGTTTACAGAATTTCATTTTTAATGAGAAGAGTAATAAAAATAAGCTTGTGCACTGTCTTAAGAAATTAAAACAAATGTATTGCTATTGTATTATTGTTGTATTTTTAATATGTGAATATATTTATATCATTATTTTTATTAATTACTATTTTTAAAATTAATTTAAACATTAATTTACATATTATATGAATTTATATATTAATAATATTTTTTTTTTCAATGTTAGATTTTTTTTTTACTGCACAGGAGTAATATATTTGTCTTCTGAAAAATAAGATACTATATAATATGCCATATAATGTTATTGCAGTATATATATTAGTTATAACTAATTATAAAATAATTGGATATTAGAATAAGTGAAAGTATTTTTTTTTTATTAATTACTTTATTAATTCACAGTTACAAAAAAATACTTATTTATTTTTTATAATTATTTATAATTCTTTCATTGTGAAGTGTTTTTTTGTTGTACTTTTAATAAAAGTACTTTTGGTATTTTTAATAAAAATATTCCACATACAGTTCAGGATATTCCAATATTTATATTACAATAGTAATATATTTGTCTTCTAAAAATATCATTCAACTATATAATATGCAGTATAATGTTATTATTAACTAATTATGAACTGTTAGTTATTATAATAAATATTATCAATTTTTTATTTTACTGTAAATTATATCAAAATTATATATATAAAAATTATTTGGAATAACAACTTAGACCTTAAAAACCAACTGACAATAAATTTCTTTCCTTTAGCATGTAAATTTGAGTGTTTTTATTGTGTGTTCATGATTGTTTGTTTGTTTTATGTGGCAGTGTGGGTCGCAGCAGTGAGGAGGACAGCAGGGGAGATGTGGAAGACACAGAGGGTGAGCCGGACCCCACGCTGCCCTGCACAGAGGACGTCATCCTCAAAACCGAGCAGGTCACCAAGAACATCCAGGAGCTCCTGAGAGCTGCACAGGAGTTTAAACATGACAGGTATGACGGACTGTTACCCCTCAAGCTGAATGCAAAGTCATTTTGCTACAGTTAATAAAAACAAACCATTATGGAAAGTTAACAAAGATCTACTGGAGAAAATTTTGAAAGAAATCTGTCTTTGGTTGCAGTTTTGTGCCATGCTCAGAGAAAATCCACTTAGCTGTGACCGAAATGGCCTCGTTGTTTCCCAAGGTAAATAAATTCATCTTATTGTGATACTTTGCCTCAAGGTATCCAAACTGCACTAAATCTTATCTGTTCTGTCTGCTGCTCTCAGAGACCAGCGCTAGATGCAGTGCGTTCTTCCTTGAAGCTCCTGGCCGCCAGTGCGTCCCGCCTGCAGGTGGAGTGTCGTAAAGCGGCGCCCTCCGACTCGTCGGCCAGTACGGTGGACTACCAGCTCCTCACCCAGCAGGTCATCCAGTGCGCCTACGACATCGCCAAAGCTGCCAAGCAGCTGGTCACCATCACCACCCGCGAGAAAAAACAGTGACCCTCCAGCACACTGGGGTCCTCAAGACTGAGAAACGGGAGAAAAGAGCAAGACACTAAGTAAAACTGACGGCTGGGAATCGTTGGTCAGGTAGATGGGGAATGAAGATGGGAAAAGAAAGGGTGTCGAATCCAGCTGCAGCCAGAGATGTGGAATGTTTGGGAGAAGCCGAATGGAGTGGCCTGCTTTTCCTTACACTCCTTTTCTTCTCTTATTTCAGTATATCAGGAGGATCTTCTTTCATCTAAACATCTAAACACTACACAGGCAGACCCACAATTCAGTGCTGATGGTCTGTTAGCGCATGGGCGGCTATTTTTGGTTTTCTTTGTGAAACACACAAGCACTCCTAACCGTCAAGAGAACCAGAAACATTCCTCCTAAATCGTTTATTTTCCTCTCTTTCTGTGTCTTTCAATTGATTTTGTGTTTTTAAATGCCGCTCCATTGGCCGGTTTCTCTTGGGACAAATGTGCTGAATTTAAACAACAACACTGGAGTTATTTTAAAGATTATGACTTATGTTTCGTATTATTGTTACAATTTAATGATGTCTTCTGTTGATTTTTGTTTCATTTAGTTTCGGTGGAAATCACACAGAGCTTTGCGAACATTAACAGGGGTGAACAATAACCTGTGAAAACTAATCCGAACACTCCCGTCCTCCAGTGGTAGAAGCACTGGTTCACTCACACAGTGGTTTACTCTATACTAGCCAAAGGAGCAGAGGGGAGTGATGACCCTACAGTTGCGGATCCCTCTTTTTTCATCTTCGAGCACAAAGACGGCGGTCGGAGTTGATGTACAGAAAAGTCTCGCTAGGTCTCACCCTGGTTCATCTCATCTCAATCCTTACGTTAGTGGGTTTTGGTATCAGAACAATGCAAATGTGTTAGCACAATCATCACATTATCTTTAGCTTATTAGGTTAGGACAAAACCATCACTTTAGCACTACATGTTCATTTTCTGCACATAATCGAATGGCCTTTTTCGTCAGTTTAGTGGAGTTTTTACTTCAGGACCAGGCTTTTTGTGTGTGTGGTGGTAGTTTGTTTTCATTTTGAGAATATTTGATTTCTTTTTCTTCTTTATAATTCGTTTTTTTTTTTTTATCAAGCATGTGTAGTTAATGGTTATTAATGTAAGAAGACCCTTAATTATGTTCTATAAGCTACAAGCATGTGAATGTTGATGGTTGAAGATGACCACTATCAATGTTCTCAACACTAACATTTCACATACAGTCACAGGGAAAACATGTCACGTCGGTGAGGATGTCCATCTGCCTCATCAGGACCAGTGAAGCCACATTCTGTGGCACCAGTCGAGGCGATCGGGCTCACTTTTGAAAATTGTGGGAAATGACTCCCTCTCTATGTTGATGTTCATGGGAGAGGAGTTGAACTAGAGCGTCCAGTACGTATGCACACATAGATGAACATCTGTGTGTGCGAGCACGATCACACCAAGTATTTGTTGTACAGTTACTTTGCGTTTTAGACGTCATGCTACGAGCCTTAAACTTCCTGTTGTTTTCCATATCGGTTTTACCCACCAGCCTTTTAAGTTAAGCCATTTTTTTCATTCTTGCCTTTTGTTTCTTTAACTTGGGGAATGGGATAATGTTAGCGTCCCCTGGTAACGTGTCAAAAAGATTGTCTGAAAATCTCTGATCATTGCCTTTGCACATCTGCTAGACTGACTTTAATCAGTAATTTAATCATGTGACTTGCTCTTCCAGAAGCACATGGTGAGTAAAACAGTGTATGCTTTCCCTCCAGATTGTTGGTTTTCCACTCAATATATCAGGATGGTTTGCTGTGCTAATGACTTGGGAGAAAGAGCTTGGGCCATTATTTAATAAGCACTAAATTAAGAGAGATTTTTTGGTTTTCTTTGTGAAACACACAAGCACTCCTAACCGTCAAGAGAACCAGAAACATTCCTCCTAAATCGTTTATTTTCCTCTCTTTCTGTGTCTTTCAATTGATTTTGTGTTTTTAAATGCCGCTCCATTGGCCGGTTTCTCTTGGGACAAATGTGCTGAATTTAAACAACAACACTGGAGTTATTTTAAAGATTATGACTTATGTTTCGTATTATTGTTACAATTTAATGATGTCTTCTGTTGATTTTTGTTTCATTTAGTTTCGGTGGAAATCACACAGAGCTTTGCGAACATTAACAGGGGTGAACAATAACCTGTGAAAACTAATCCGAACACTCCCGTCCTCCAGTGGTAGAAGCACTGGTTCACTCACACAGTGGTTTACTCTATACTAGCCAAAGGAGCAGAGGGGAGTGATGACCCTACAGTTGCGGATCCCTCTTTTTTCATCTTCGAGCACAAAGACGGCGGTCGGAGTTGATGTACAGAAAAGTCTCGCTAGGTCTCACCCTGGTTCATCTCATCTCAATCCTTACGTTAGTGGGTTTTGGTATCAGAACAATGCAAATGTGTTAGCACAATCATCACATTATCTTTAGCTTATTAGGTTAGGACAAAACCATCACTTTAGCACTACATGTTCATTTTCTGCACATAATCGAATGGCCTTTTTCGTCAGTTTAGTGGAGTTTTTACTTCAGGACCAGGCTTTTTGTGTGTGTGGTGGTAGTTTGTTTTCATTTTGAGAATATTTGATTTCTTTTTCTTCTTTATAATTCGTTTTTTTTTTTTTATCAAGCATGTGTAGTTAATGGTTATTAATGTAAGAAGACCCTTAATTATGTTCTATAAGCTACAAGCATGTGAATGTTGATGGTTGAAGATGACCACTATCAATGTTCTCAACACTAACATTTCACATACAGTCACAGGGAAAACATGTCACGTCGGTGAGGATGTCCATCTGCCTCATCAGGACCAGTGAAGCCACATTCTGTGGCACCAGTCGAGGCGATCGGGCTCACTTTTGAAAATTGTGGGAAATGACTCCCTCTCTATGTTGATGTTCATGGGAGAGGAGTTGAACTGGAGCGTCCAGTACGTATGCACACATAGATGAACATCTGTGTGTGCGAGCACGATCACACCAAGTATTTGTTGTACAGTTACTTTGCGTTTTAGACGTCATGCTACGAGCCTTAAACTTCCTGTTGTTTTCCATATCGGTTTTACCCACCAGCCTTTTAAGTTAAGCCATTTTTTTCATTCTTGCCTTTTGTTTCTTTAACTATAGATGAACATCTGTGTGTGCGAGCACGATCACACCAAGTATTTGTTGTACAGTTACTTTGCGTTTTAGACGTCATGCTACGAGCCTTAAACTTCCTGTTGTTTTCCATATCGGTTTTACCCACCAGCCTTTTAAGTTAAGCCATTTTTTTAATTCTTGCCTTTTTGTTTCTTTAACTTAAGGAATGGGATAATGTTAGCGTCCCCTGGTAACGTGTCAAAAAGATTGTCTGAAAATCTCTGATCATTGCCTTTGCACATCTGCTAGACTGACTTTAATCAGTAATTTAATCATGTGACTTGCTCTTCCAGAAGCACATGGTGAGTAAAACAGTGTATGCTTTCCCTCCAGATTGTTGGTTTTCCACTCAATATATCAGGATGGTTTGCTGTGCTAATGACTTGGGAGAAAGAGCTTGGGCCATTATTTAATAAGCACTAAATTAAGAGAGATATCTGAAAGGAAGTCATTGCACACACACTATATTTCCAACGCTTAATCTGATTCCTTTCAGAGTAGTTTGTAGATTTTCCCAGCCATCCTGCTGCAGATGCATACTTTGCTCACATGATGCACCGGTGAAATTATTTTTAAATAGATTAATGCACACACACTTCCGTGATCAGTCATACTGGCTGCACTATACTTGTGTTATGACTGTTCTTTATCACGTGGTTCTTACTTGAGATTAACTGATGGGAGAAATTTGTTTAGCAGAGGCTACCTGTAAAATATAGAAATTAAATAAAAGACTAAGCAAAACCATTTAAATCGTAATAAAGACTCATAAGCTGTACATTTGTAATAAATAAAAGAAAAAGTTCATTGTCTTCTGTGAGTTCTTTGGCAGTTGAATCGTGGGTATGGTATTTTACAGCGCGTTTATCAAAAATGCTAACAAAATAATTGCATTATAACGTTGCAGTTATTCATTTAGCAGATACTTACGCAAAGTGACACAAATGCGGATGCAATTCTAGCGGTATATTCCATGTTTCGAGTGTACGTTTGTGCAGAAAAACCAAAAGAGAACAAGATTCAAAAGACAGGAGTTATGCGAAAAGAAGAGGTCAGTGTGGAGCAACTGAAAAATAACTTTTGAAGTGTTGCCGTGCGCACATAAATTATATTTGACTGAAATGCTTGTTTAAATATTGTACTCTACCCACTTCACATTCTACCAGTTATAAAACAGTGCTAGACTACTGATAGGAAACCTAGTTCATTTTCAAATAGTTCAAAAAGTAAAGGGTTACCACTTTTTTTTAACCACCAATCAGTCTTAAAGACTAATCAGACTGTGCTTATGATTACTACAGTGATTTTTAAGTTTATATTTTGTGTAATACATAGTGACATATATATATATATATATATATTAGGGATAGGAGTGGAAAATGTAGAGTTTTGGTATTTTTGTTAGTTTTTTGTCATTGGGCTAGTTTGATCTGGCAACCCTGCGTAACTACTTTCGCAAAGGTTTTTCATTATCCTAAAGTTCACCGTTCCTTATCCAACTGTGCTCAGTATTGGCTAGGTTATTAGTCTAGATTACATTTTTACAGCATTACATAATTGCATTTAAATTACTTGCAGACTGCCAAGTACTCATCGCTGGTGGACTTCAGTTGGTCTACATTATAACCCCAAAATCTGTTTACCTAAAACTTATCCATGTGGGGAAAAAAATAGCACAAAAACTTTATATGTGCTAAATGAGTTCGCAGTATCTCTGCACAGCTCAAAGACCAATGAATAAATACATACTACAGACATTAATAATATAAATTCTTTTTAATATCATTATCAGGTCATGAGGCATAATTATGAAACAAGTATTACACTGTATCCGAGCCCAATTAACACAAAGAGTCTTTAGGAAAAAGTGGAACAGAACAGCAGAATACCATTTAAACATCTGAACACAGTTCATAATTAAGCCTCATATGACAGAGGCTCAAAACAAGTGCTAATACATCTCCAACCCAACATGACATGATATGTAATGCCCTAGACCCTGTGTGGAAATTCAATTGAACTAAATTAAGTTTGTTACGTCATTACTGTAAACCTGGTATTACCACATTATTAGAATTCAGTCCTTTCAGATCTACAAAAAGTCCTGAGAAAAGAGGCTTATGAGTAACAATGGGTCAGCTGCAAACTGCTAATACCGTAAACTCATGGTGATTTGTCATGAGGCAGCTTGATGTTGTACAAATAAAAAACACAACCTGCTGCAAATACATCAAGGGTGGGAACGTCTGTTAAAGAAATGTAAACGTGTTAACATGCTGGTGATGGGGGTTAGTGACGGGTTATTTAAACGAGTGCTGATGTCCGTCAAATATGTAAAAAAATAAAAAATAAAATAAAAGGATGGGTAAACATATTTATGAGACACTTTCGAAATTTAATAGACATAGGGCAGAAACATGGACTGAAAAAATATGATGCTATTTATTAGTGTAAGAAACACCTCTAGATGGGATGTCCTGGGTGCAGGAGTGAAAAAAAGAGAAAATCTACTGGAATGAAACAAAGAGAGAGAGCAGCCCATCATACTGCAGAGACTCTTTCCAATGCTAGGACACAGCCGAACAGCTGCAACATCTAAAAAAACAAAAATGAATTAAAATTAAAATAAATTTGATATAGTCTGGTCAGTAAAATATATAGAGTATAGTGTCCCCATGTCCTCAGTTCAGCTGTACTCACAGAATCAGCTGCAGTGTCTCATTCGTCTGCGGCAGACATCCCTTTCACTGGATCCTTCACTCGCATCTATAGTAGAAAAAAGAATTTCAGACTTGTCGATATTGGATTATAAATATTGGAATATTTAATTATACATGCTCATTTTACTTTTACTATTAATAACGTAAAACTGTTAAATGTAATCTTTAGCAAACTTCCAACTGAATATTATTTTTCATACTGTACATTATAATACTGCCTAAATGCACTTGCACTCATATTGACTGATTTTAGTGAAGTGTTTTAATTATTTGGGCACAAACAGTAAAAATCCTAATATCTACTATTTATCAATAATTAATCACAACATTAAATTAATTATCAGCTTATGTCTGTCAAATATGTAAAAAAAAATTTAATAAAAGGATGGGTAAACATATTTATGAGACACTTTCAAAGTGTCAAACTTTAATCAGCCAAACTTTAATATTGGTGAATCCCTAAATTAAATACAGATTAAATATCTCCACTGACAAATAATCTTTAACGCATCAGTTTTATTTTTTTTAGTAGTTTTTAAGATTTTAGTTTTCTTATTTCTTTTTTACATTTTTTATTTCGGTTTTAATTTGAGTAATTTTAATACTTCAACTTATTTTATTTCAGTAGGTTGCCAAGGCCACATTTTTAATTTTCATTTAAATGTTTAAAGTTTTTCATTAATTATTAAAATTTTATTTAAGCTGTATTTCAATGAACAATAGTTCATTTAATAGTTTTAGTTAACGGTAACACTGTACTGCTCTAATTCTAAAACCAGTGACCAGTATAAATAATTTCTTTAAACCATCTTCACTCTGTTCAATTATTATAAAAAATAAAACAGTTGTTGAACTCACGTTATCAAGTTCTTTCTGCGTCGTCTCCTCCATGCGGCGGATGTCCTCCATGGTCAGATTGATCCATCGGTCTAACCAGCAGAAGAGCTGCCTGTGGAAGCTGGTGAACAGGCGCTTCTCTTGCTGAAGTAAAAGCAAACAAACATTCATGCTTCACAAGTCACTGCATTAAAAACAGACTAACACACAAACACCAAGCCCTCTAATAAACTGAACAAACACAAACTGTTTATCTTTCTAAACCACACCTCTATGACATCTTAATGGACATTCTGTTGACATAAAAAGTGAGTCAAACTGAACACAGCATGAGGTTATTTATAGTTGTATACCTTGTGAATGAAATTCTCCACTTTATTCTGCAAGCCAAACCACTTGAACTTGACAGTGACTAGTTTATAGGCACACATATGAGGGCAGTCCGTCTTCTGAGGAAGTTCTTTCTGCAACAAACACGATCAACTCCTCTACAAAAATGCTGGAGATATTGATCTAAAAACAATTCATGAAACCATACACACCTTCCAGTCAGGTCCTAATGGCCCTCTACCAGTCTTCTGTGATTTAAATGTGGCTGGATCCTCGTCTGGTTTGTAGTCCTGTGAAGTAAATCAAAATGTCAGCATGTCTCAAAGTTTGATCATGCATCTAAAGTAAAAAATCCGTTTTCCTTACCTTAGTGTCCACCTGAGACCTGTCAGCAATGTCGATGTGCACCACCTCAACCTTCTTCCACTGTTCGGGGTCAAGCTTATGGACCTTAAAAAAACAAAACAGAAAGGAGACGGTTAGTTTATAAGATTCTCACAGCTGCTTGCAATTCAATATCGGTTTCTCTCACATTGTGGTGCTGCGTAATTAAATTATTATGTGCATTTATCTGCATAATGTCGGCTGTCTACTCACATTGTCCTGATCACCGAGGTCAGGCTTGTGCCACGTCTCAATCATGACTAGAAAATTGTCCTTCATGTACTCATTCTATAAAAACACACACAATACATTTGATACACAGACACACTACTGTTCAAAAGTCTGGGGTCTGTAAGATTTTTTTCAAAGAAATCATTACTTTTATTAGGCAGGGATGCATTACACTGATCAAAGGTCACAGTAAAAACATTTATAATGTTACAAAGGATTTCTATTTTAAATTAATGCTATTTTTTGGAATTTTCTCTCAAACTGAAAAAAAAGTACCATGTTTGAACAAGAATAAGCGGCACACATGTTTCCAACACTGATAAGAAGAAATGTTTCTTGAGCACCAAATCAGCATATGAGAACGATTTCTGAAGGATCGTGTGACACTGAAGACTGGAGTAATGATACTGAAAATTCAGCTTTGCCATCACAGGAATAAATTACATTTTAAAGTATATCCAAATGGAAAACATTTTAAATTGTAATAATATTTTACAATAATAAGGTTATTACTTTATCTTTGATCAAATAAATGCAGCCTTGGTGCCATCACAGGAATAAATTACATTTTAAAGTATATCCAAATGGAAAACATTTATTTTAAATTGTAATAATATTTTACAATAATAAGGTTATTACTTTATCTTTGATCAAATAAATGCAGCCTTGGTAAGAATAAGAGACTTTCAAAAACATTTTAAAAAAATCTTTCCGACCCCAAACTTTTAAAGGGCATTGTATATACAAGAATACAGCCTGATAAATAAGAATAAAATGTTGATTATTAATATTATTATTAATAGTAACATGAATATAAAAAGGTTTATGTAATTACACACAGGTGTCTCATACACTCACCGTAAGAACTGGAGTGAATGATTGATGATGTAGGGAACACATGAAAAATAGGAAAAACACAGTTGTGAATTTCGTCATTCCTATGAGTTCTGCGTTTAATAGATCAGTCATGTATGAATGTACAGTTGTTGTATATTCAGTAAAGCTGTGCTATTGTGGCCGGTACCTGTGCGACAGTAAGGATAAGCATTCCAGGCCTTCTCATGGATACTCAGGGCAGATGAAGGGGCCAGTAACCGTACAAATGTTGGCACTTTACTGCATAAAACAGAGAGTTTGAGAATCACAGAGAAAAACTGTGAAATACAGACTATGACCAATTTTCAGCTTGTCGACACCACATGAGATGACACTTACAAAAAAATGCTAATACCATGGTACTACGATACAGACCACAGTACTTAATAGTTAATATTTCATTCCTATGAGTTCTGCGTTTAATAGATCAGTCATGTATGAATGTACAGTTGTTGTATATTCAGTAAAGCTGTGCTATTGTGGCCGGTACCTGTGCGACAGTAAGGATAAGCATTCCAGGCCTTCTCATGGATACTCAGGGCAGATGAAGGGGCCAGTAACCGTACAAAAGTTGGCACTTTACTGCATAAAACAGAGAGTTTGAGAATCACAGAGAAAAACTGTGAAATACAGACTATGACCAATTTTCAGCTTGTCGATACAACATGAGATGACACTTACAAAAAAATGCTAATACCATGGTACTACGATACAGACCACAGTACTTAATAGTTAATATTATTATTATTACCTCTGCAAGTGGTAGATCTTGTGTGTGTACTGTCCTTTCTCTCCATCCTCCTTCTCGTAGGGCTCGTTTTTCAGGACCTCCACCCCTTCTCCACCGCCCGTCTCATTCTTACTGGCCTCTGCCACGGAGTACAGCTGACCCACCTGGTACTGCAGATGAGAGAATAATGTTAACTTTACTTGGTCATATCATATGCAAATTACAGTATAACACACGTCTTAATGACAAACAAAAACACATTGAAAGTGAGTGTATTCTGCCAAGTTGTGCATTTGCATATCAAGGCTGCGTACGGTGCTGAGAGCTGATTCAACATCTGCATAGACAAATAGCCATATACAGGCTGGTGTGCCATAAACAAATGGACACAATTATAGAGGAAGTGTTCAAACCCTATAAACTGATGATAGAAAAGAGGGAAACTGCTTGTAGCAAATGTATGTGCATCTCTAGTTCTCCAACTCTGACCAGCTTCTGCCCAACACAGTAGGAGTAGAAAAATATTTTAGTAGTTTTGAGACTTCGGATACAAATTCGAAACATTTTATTCAAATTCTAGCTGCGAAAATCAACCGATAATTTTAATGTTATGACATAAAACCGATAAAATGTTAAAAATCCATACCATTTTTACATAAATATAAAACACTAAAAACAATCAATTTTAAATGCTACATATGAATTTATGAAGACATTGAAATTATAATGTACAGTATGAAAAAGGGAAAAGTTCTGGCTAATTCTAAGTCGATAATTCTTTTTTACATAATGAGTCTGACTAATAATTGATAAATGGTAGATATTAAAATGTACACTATTTGTGTAGATGACGGCAATAAGTCAAATATAAAAATAGACAAAATATGCACGCACAATTAAATATCCAACATCGATTATACTGATTAAAAGAAACTCAAATATCGACCGATAAGTGATATTAAGATACTGAAATACTGTGCAGTCAAAAGCTTCATTTAATTTTTCGTAATTACACTTGTTTTCATTAAACCAGTATAAATGACTGACTTCCATACAGAAATGAGTCATGCAGCTCCCAGCAGCCCCTGCCCTCTGTCTGCATCTACACTCGGTATGTCTACAAAACCACAATGTAACATGCTTCCTGTTTCAGCTGGTTGGGTACTAGTTCAATTCTCCATCAGTCTGTATTATTTCATTTAGCAGACACTTTTATCCAAAGCGACTTACAAATGTATATTGTAACATTATTATATATGTATATTATTATATGGTCTTTTGCGCAGGTGAACAGGAAGGAATGCAACTACACATGCCAAACCTTTACTGCTGTTTATCCAAGAACAACTGACTTTAACAATGATTTCTTATCCAAACACAACAGATACAGAAAAAGATATTCAAATATTCAGGGTAAAAACAGACCAGCCAACATCAACAAATACTGCAACAAGGAGGGCAAGAAATGACAGGGACAAAACAAATTCAGCCTTTGTTTAGTAAGCTGGAGCAAAGATGGTACACTTGATAAAGTCTGATAAGCTCGGTCTCGGGTTACAATTAGTTACAGTCTGTCCTTGTCCACTATATACAGGCCTTCAGTTAACTAGGCCACTTTCCCACAAACCTCAGACTGTTTGTTTCAATTCATCATTTTAACGTCTAAACTGTCCGGCCCATCAGAAGAAACTGGGCGGAGGCTGGAAAACTGGAATAACAGAAGAATTATGCCAAAAAAACATCCATAAGCCTCAAGACGGAAAAAACATATGTTTGAGTTATTTCAGAATAAACAAATTGAAATAGTAGCCTACAAAGTTTGTGCAATTACAATTATTTAAATTGAACGTTGAAAGATAATATTGATTATGTTCTATTCTGTAATGTTAATATAAATCATACACTGTCAGAACAAAAAGGTTGCATTTTATGCATGCAGCACCCATTCACTGGCAGTCCCTAATGACAGTACAAAATACTGCACCAAATCAAAAGTTCAAACGTTACAAATAAGTTAGAATATTAATGTTGTAATACTGGTCGCACTAATATAAAAATGTGATGATATATGCTACAAAAAAGTGACAATTTTGAAATACGTTGATGGTTGTATTTTTTAGTATTTGATCTCAGTATTCCTATCAATGTTGTATAAGGGTTTTTTTATGCATAATAGTAACCCTAGAATGTGATCAAACAGTTTAAAATAGCTGGGCTAAGATATATAACAATTTTTATGACTGCAGAAATGTTAATTCAGTATATACATGATCCCACCGGTTACAATTGTGACTGATCATTAAATACAAATTTTCACACACTTAATTTTCCAAAAATAAAATTATATATATATATATATTGATTATTTCAAAGGGTTTACATAATGACGCATCATTTGGATATTTTCATGTCTGGGAAAAACTTGGGATTAAGCGGGTTAAAATGTGTTTTAAACATAAAGTTAAGTGGTTTTCATTACCCATTTTACTCTTAGTCATTTATTAATTTAATACATTTCATAATTTTAAAGTTTAGTGCAGAAGTATCGAATCGGTATCGATATCACCGATACTGCCTTGAAAAATATCGGTATGGTATCGAAAACAAAACAAGGGGTATCACCCATGACACGTGACCGGCGGAAGGGTAGCATGTGACAATCACATTATACTTACGTTACCTGCAGTTTGTAACTTCAAAAAAGGTATGCTTTTTTCCCCTCTCATTTCGTAAAGCAAATGAACTGAGGACTCATTACAGGAATATAAATAATATAATCCGAAATAGGACTATAGATTATTTTACATAACTTAATTAACACCGATAAAACCATCCAGAATTCATTAGTCAAAAATCAACAAAAGTCCACTTCATTAGGCAGCAGTCGGTGAAAGTTACCAAACAATCGCCCTTAAGTTTAAATTCAGCGCGAGATCAAAACTTCAGCTCAGTTAATTCATGAAACACTTACAATTCCTTTATCAACATGTTCTCTCCTTCTGCTCCGCGTGCCCCACATTCAAGCTATCCTAAAGAGAGTTGATTCTTCGACTCTTCGGTCCACCCCACTCTCACCCGTTTCGGTTCAAGTTCCTGGATTTCTCATTTCTTTCAATTCATTTCCTGAAAGATGTCGCCAGGAGCGCCGCGTCGTCACGGCAACCACACCCACTAGCAGGAAAACCGGAGCAGGAGCCAATCTGATTGGCCAAGAGCCGCACATAGAACCTTGCGCCACACCCGGTCAGATATTTAACACGCTCAAACGCCACACAGCTTTACAGAACTGTGACTCCGATTCCTCATTGATGTCAGGTAGATGTTCTTGTTCCGCTGGTTTTACACTTAGGGTAAGACTACAACAGGAGGGATTTGGGCGTGAAGGTGTTTTTGCATGTCCTGTCCCAGACTTGACTTTCCAGTCAGTGTGACGATCGTTAGATAACTAGTCATTCCACGTGAATTTATGTTCAGCACGTGTGTGTCTTGAAATGTAGTTCTACTCATCTTCTGTATTGGTCTTAATATAGTGGATCAAATATTAAACTTGCAATTTATAAACATGGAAATCTTAGTATACAGTTACTGAGATGAAAACTGGGAGTCTCTGAGAGTTTCTGGGAGCTTCTTCATTTTTAGTTTCTCTCTCTCTCTCTAGCTCTCAGCTTAAAATATTTCATCCTATTACAACAAGATATTATATGTGACCCTGGACCACAAAATCAGTCATAAGGGTCAATGTTTGGAAATTGAGATTTATGTGTATATATATATATATATATATATATATATATATATATATATATATATACAGTATATATATATATATATACACAGTGTGTGTGTGTGTATATATATATATATATATACATACCCTTAAATTAATCCTGTTTGGTTCCATCCTGACAGTCAAGTGTCCTTTTATAGAAATACCTATTTAAATTAGAACATAAGTATATATTTTATTTATATATATATATATATATTGAATAAAAGGTAACAGCTCAAAAGGTTAGCAAGTCTCCGGACTGACTTACTGAAACTGCAGATCAAAAGCAGTTCATAATGTCAGATTGTTATTTTGGTTTATGCATTAGCAGAAAAAAATGCAAAAAATATTTCAACAAATTCATCTGTTTTTATTTATTTTCACATATCTGATATTTTGTTGGGACATGTATTCAAAAAAGTTGCTATATAGTGATAGAATGAAGAAAACCAAAAGCCAAATACAGTAAAATGCACAAAACTCACAAAAAAAGAGAAGAAAATAGAGAAACATTATGTACACTCATAATTGAAAACACAAACTACAGAGTAGAAAAAATCAACAAGATAATCATAAAAAGACACTAAAAATACAATACAGAGAGAAAACATTGGTGTTAAAGCTGATCTTTCCCACTTTTCTTCGCTCTTACGGTGTATGGGCATTTTCCACACTCATACACGTTCAATGGGGTATTATAAATCAACTTTTAAAACCAAAAAAAATGTGATTGTGACTTGAGAAAATAATGAAAATTTAAGGTACGGCAGTGAGAAAAAGTGCTACTTCTCTCATTCTGAGAGCAAATGGGTTCACTCTCACATTCATTATGCTTAGTACAGTACTGCTTTAGATTGGAATTCACTTGCAATATCCAGGCATGTTCAAGCCAGCAAATGCAGTCCATCCAGGACTCGCCTCTAGCCTCAGCTTTGACAAAATATTCACAAAAAAGTGTGACAGACGATAAGTGGATGTTGCTGGGTGGATCTGACATGTTCCTCTTCAGGGGGGTCATAAAGGAAGGTCACATTTATGGCCACTGTTGAGAAGATCCTCATCCAGGATCTCATACATCTGTGTTTGTCTCTCAGTTATGGAAAAACAAATCATTTCATATAAGTTTACAGTGAAAATACTGTTAAAGTAAGCGAGGTTGTGACTTAACCCTAACATCTTCAAATCAATGTTTTGCTGAGAAATATAAGTGATCTACAAAAACACATGAACTACATCAACACTGGAATCAAGAAAAATGTTATTTGATTCACAAGTTATTTGATTGATTTTACATAATTTTTCACACTTTTCTGAAAGTACCCATCTGTCATGCAACATGTCAGTCTAAAATACCCAATTTCGCTCAATTATATGTAGTTACCACATTTTGTCTTTCATAGGGCACAATACTGGCCTGAAACCCATTATAAGCTACAAATA